TCTCTATATATATATATATATATATATATATATATATATATATATATGTGTGTGTGTTTTCTCTTACATTCTCAAATTTAATATAAAAACTTTAAAATGTTCAATGAGTGTAGCACCTAATCTATAGAAGCAAAATTATAATATATATGACTTTTAGTGAAGAATTTCTAAATCTAATGAAGAAAGAGGACAATTTGAATGATTATATGATTTTCATTATACAATATAAACACCAAAGACATTTAAAATGTATGAGCATGCTTCATTGCTTCCCCAAGCGCGAGAATTGCCCAATCAACCACAACTAACAAAAGGATGAAAGTTAGTATGCTCATCCAATTCTAACATGATATTAATAAAAAAAAAGTGAGAAATATGAGAGTTTAAGGAGAAAAAGAACAGGTACAAAATTTGAGAGATCCAGGGGAAATAAAAAAGACTAGAGTTCCTTTATACCGGAATCTAACGAGAAAATACATCCATCACGTGACACCCCACCGTTTTCCCTCACGTTATCCCCCTTTGGAGACAAAATTTCTTATCTCATAGGGGATTTCACCAAGAAAATGAAAAAAAAAAAAGGAAAACTAAAAGTGCTCAAAAATCATATTTTATATGTTTCCATAAAATTTCTAGGAAAAGTTTTGTAGAATCCCGGAAAATGGTGTTTTCTTTCTTTTTTTTTTAACTTTTTCTTAGTATGGTTCAAAATATGAAAAGAAGAAAACCAACTTCATAGAAAATCAAAAGTAAGAGATGGAAAAGGGTGTGATATTTTTTTAATGAGATAAATTAGAGTGCGTCAAATATGCTAGCGATTACCTCCCAAAAGGAGAGGATGTGGGTTTCTATAAAATCCTCACATTTTCTCTACTTCGTATAAATTCCTTCTATAAAACTTCGGTGAACCAAACTGAGTTTTAGGAAATGTTCAGGAATCATTTAATTTGGTGAATCAGACAGCCCCACCACAGAACAATCTCATCTAACACATTTCTTAACTAAACAACATTTTGATAGGGGATTATTATTCTATAGACACATAATACTTCAGACTTGCTTCTCATAATAGCTCTTGATCATCAGTTTACAATTACACCTATCTTCTAATAATTTCCTTTTTTTTGTTCTACTGAAACTAAAGTCTTTGGATTAATCTAAACTTTTTATACCTTTCAACTTGGGAGCTATTCATTCTCCGTACTTAACCAGCATTTTTTTTGTTGTTGTTAGAGA